GTTTAAAATTGAATATGTTGAATATAGTTCAAGCCCAATAAAATTTATAGCATAATAATAGTATTGTAGTCTTGCCTTTGCTGACAACTTCATTGCAGTGTGTTCTTTCCAAAGGTACTGAGGTTTAGTTTAAATCTCTTTCCCTTGTGATATTTTTCATTCTTGATTCTGCAACAACTCATGATCCTGGGTGGTCAGGCTCTTTTCCTTGACAGTCCCTTCCTAAAGCCACTGTCAGAGGCAGTGCTGAACTAACCCTTCTGACTCAGGAGGCACCTTCAGGTTATTTGTTTGGTTTTGTTGTTGTGTTTGCTTTTAAAGTATTGCAATGCTGTTCTGCTGCAGAGGAGGTGCCCTTAATTCTAACAGTGACAGAGCTCTGTATGAGGGTTGGACTGCTGTTCCTCGGCGCTGTCGTGGATGAACCCTTGGTGCAGGCTGTTTGCAACTGTTGTTCTTTTTAACTTCCAAACTGCAGGTTGGCTTATCAAGATGACTGTGGAAAAGCCTGCTGAACTTGATGAACTGATGAGTGAAGATGCTTATGAGAAATACATAAAATCCATTGAGGACTGAGCTGGAATAATGAAATAAACCCATATAAAATATTTCACTGTAGTCTGTCATCGATCACTGAAGTAGAGAATATTGAGTTTTGGCAAGCTGAAAAGTATCACTTATGTTCACATACACATGCCATAAATAATTGCAGTGATAAAATGTTTAACATGTGCACACTTGTAAGGGATTTTTATTCTAGACTGCTTGATTTTTAAATAACTTTGGGATACAGAAAAACCCAGTGCCTCCCTAACCTCCTAATACTTTGACCTAGTTATAGTTGCAAGAATTATGCCAAAAAAACTACCACCAACTACCTCTTTGCATGATTATGTTGTTTTTTTTACTTCTTTACATAGTAAAACAAAGAAGGAAAACATAAAGAACTAATAAATTCAAATAATTCTGCCTTTACAAAGGTATGCTCCTTGTTTTCTGACTTACTGCGCTTTCTTACCACGCAAAACTCATGCACTGATCATTTAGCTAGGTTCTTGAGTGCACTGTTTAGGCTGTATTTTCTTTTGTCTGGACTAAGTGAACACTGCATGTGTCACAGGGAATTCTACACCACGTGCCTATCGTGTGATCAGTAACACTTCAGTAAATAATGCCATGTCATGTCATGTGTGCCTTTGAGATCATGGAGGCATGCTGCTGTCATGAGGACAGACACTGAATGAATGAAACTAAAACTTTTGTTTTGCAAACCAGTAAACTAATTATGTTAGACTTGACCTTAATGGCTCCACAATCACGTAGTCGATGTTGATGTGACGTCTAAAGGTAAGTTTGAGTGGTGCAGACCTGTGTCTTACAAAACCATAATAGCACAGCAGAGGTTTGGAGTACAGCTTTTTTTTAAAACATGATTTTAAAACGGTGATCAGAAGCCAAGCACAAATCAGGAGAGAAAACCAAGTGCCTCTTAGTTGCTCTGAAGGGAAGTAGGGGGATATTAATCCACACAGGGTGACACAGGTGGAATTCTGTTGGAGGTTTGATGTATGCTACTCAAGCAGAGTTCCTAGCTTTCAAGTCATCCCACAACCTTGCTGCATCCATCATCAGGAAGAAGCTTCAGTTAGGCCAGCAGGCACTGGTTGGAGCCCAACTGCAGCAGCATAAATTCAAAGTTTGCCAGCATAGATCTGTAATGAATGCCTTTCTTCAAAATAAAATGAGGTGAGTGTATTTTAGATTTAAACTATGACTAAATGCTGTGCAAATTGAGGGAGAAATTAAACATGCTTACCAGCATGTTCCTACAGAAACATGGCTTTTTATGTCCTGATCCTCAGAACTTAGCACTCATAAGTACTGGATACTAAATATTACAGGCCCATTGAAAAGATGACTTTTATGGGAAATCATGATTTCCATGTTTCTCCCACAACTAATAATTATGTCTCTTTATATCATAGGAGTAAATTATGTCATCATATCTCCTTTCTGCTTCACAAATACCAACCCCTTTCTCTCTCAGATTATCTAGCACTATCATATAAGTTCAACTTGGATTTTTTTTCAATCCATATTTACTTTGGAAGGCTTTTATCTGAAAAGACTGCATATCTCAAAATTTGCTTTTTTTCCACAGTGAATTGCTGCCTCTCCATCTGAATCGTGACCCATTGTGCATATGAGTGCAAATTATCTGTTACTCTGAACAGAGAGAAAAATACAAGCAAATGGTATTAAGCTGGAAAAACAAGACCACTTAAATAATAATAAATAATAAATAATAATAATAGGTGTTTTGAGGTGGTGACATTCCAGTACTGCTGTCTGTGTAGATTGTTAATGTGACTTTTGATCACGCCATGTTAAACAGGAGTACAAAGCACTATTATGCATTGTTAGCAAGCTATCATCTAATTTAGTAATGATGAAAGGTTAAATAGTATGCTAGGTATAATGCTAACCTAAGAGCTGGAAACATGTTTGTATGAAAATATCATTCTAATTTGTCAGGAGCCTGTTTTGAACACAAAATAAGGACAATGTGAACTTCACTGCCATTAAATTAGCTGTAGGACAATTACCTAAGCCTTTCGTGATTAGATTAGGAGAGTGGCAGATCTCAGTTTCTAATGCTCCCCTTAACTGGGGTTTCCAGAGAGCTGCTGTTCTGCAGTCAGTGAGTCAGGAGTCTCTTTGCTGCTGCTTTGTACTGATGGGTCAGGAATTGGGATCTTTCTGTAGGCTGGTTCCTCAGCACTGCACCAATAAGTGTTCCAGAGCGACCCTCAGCTCTTCAACTAAAGACACGAGGCTTTTCTGTTGCAGTGCAAGAGCCAATGGAAACATCAGCACCTGCATTGCTAACGTGGGTGAAGAGAAGGAAGCCTAAGAATGGTGCCTAATGGAATGGTAGCACAGTTTGTCCAGCAGGTGGAACGGAGCGTTCCAGGCTATCAGACGGCTACAGGGCAATCTCAATCTTATCGTTCTCAAAGGAGGAGTTGTATAATTCACCCACGCGGTGGCGCTCAGCACGTTAGAGATGGAGCAACGGAGCCGTGCAAGCGGCCGGGTACCGCAGTGACTCAGCTGCCGGCTCCCTAGGGCAACTTCAAGGCCTGAAAACACATCGAAATATTGAAAATTGTCACTGGAAATGTTTACAGGCAGTCCTCACAGAACTGTACCACTCATTTTATCTTGCCCATCATCCTGCCACCCTTGTCAGATTGTTGAGGTGAGGCATTTAGCCTGAGTCTGCAATTTTATACCAAGTTCCAAGTGTGATGGCTCCCACTAAGCCAACAGCAGCCTGCTCAGTAAGCCTGCACACAATTTTCTAGATGGCACGAGCCAGAGATGAACTGTAAGAGCAGCCTAGGAGTGTCCTCAGTGTGATTCTGCTGCACTTTCCCCAGGCTGCTTGGGACACAGTCCTAGGGAAGCTCCTTGGCAGGGGAATGCAGTCTGTGGTATCTGCACTGATACTTTCCCTTACAATATTGATATCCCTCTCTTCCTGACAAAGCATAATTCAGTCACTTCAGACCCAACCTATTTTAATGCGGTACAAGCATCCAACATCCCCTGCTATCAGGCTGTTTTATTTGTCATTTGTTTATAGTGTTCAATTATTCATGCTATTGAGTGGCTTTCTCTCAGAGGCTATTTTAATGGAGGTACAGCACTTCTACCTTTCTCTAGCCATGAAAATCAATCCACAAGCTAGGAGGATGAGTTAGCACTTGCAACCCGTGTGTACTTCTGCTTTCAGCCATCACCCTCTCCCTTCTTCACTGCAGGGGGCTGGATCAAGAGAAAATGACAGAGAACTCAGTATTCTTGGCCATTCCTGCCTGTTCCAACTGCCCCACTTGTGCTACAGCTACCAAGGCAAAGTCAGCTCAGCTACAACTGAAATGTTTTTTGTCTGCCTTCCATTAGACTAAGGAGCATTTCTTAAATCAGGCTGCTTGGTAAATATGTTAGCCAACGTAGAAAGAAGATGTTTAATGCCTTGGAAGGAATCTGTCTACTTTCCATATTGTGGTCACAAGGATCACCTCATCCACATGTGATCCTGTGTGATCTAAAGTTGTATTTCTGATACAGAATCTAAGTCTTGAAAAGAGACTTCACAGTTGGCACAGCCAGCTCCTCCTCCTTCCTACCTATGCCTGTGCAAGTGAAGAGCTGTAAGGAAGAACAGGCAGTCATTCTGATGTCAGAAGAAGCGTATTTGGAAGAGTCCTTAAGCTTCACCTAGCTGACAGTTAAATAGCCTCAACTCTGCATCGCCACTGGAGGAAAGAGTGTGTGCTCCCTACAGAAGCAGCTCTACCACAGTTAGTGCTCAATATACACCAGGCTTAGAAACCCTCCTCCTGGACCAAGTGGCCCTTCAGCACTAGAAAACTGAAACTCTTATTTTTTGTGCAATAAAATAATTACTATTCATATATCTCCTAGTTTCCTGCTATGAGAGCCCCTCTTTGCCCTCCTGCAAAGAGGACAGACTGTTGTTTCCATTCTAGCATGGGGTTTGGCAGCTGAATGCTCGATTGCACAGAATGGTTCAGTGCTGCTGACCACAGCAGTGCTGAGCTGGGAAGGATTAAAACCACAGGCAGTTAAAACACAGGCATCCCTTTCTGGACTACAGGCTGCTACACTGCCTTTATCTGCAACAGTGCTAAAGATACAAGACTATAAAGATAGCTACACGCACTTATGCCAACTGATAATCTCATCTTATCTTCTTGAGAAGTGGTTATACTTCAGCAGAGCAGACTGCCAACCCAGCTCCACACTCAGAATATTCTGAATGGAGACCTCAGAGATTGCTGTTTGTCTCCCGATAGGCAGTGCATCACCTCCTGCATGGACAGAACAGAACAGAATTCAGACCCTCAGCCAAAGGAACTCACAGCCTGTCCATTAAAATACAAGGTTTTATATTCACCACATGCTCACAATTTGTTTTCTTAACCTTTAATGACATCGAGAAGCTACAGGTTTATAAATAGATGTGACAACCAGTGATTAGATGCCGTTTTGGTGGAAAATAATCTGAATGCTATAAGGCTACGTTACAAGGCATTATTTAAAAAGTTGATTTTGAACTTCCGGTGATATTGCGTTATTTTCACAAACATTACAAACAAACATTACTTTGCGAAGGACCAACACTGCAGAAGAAAGTGCAACCAAAAGGAACAGAGCAGTAACATTTAGAACAAATTCTTTCATCAACAAAGCCCGTGTAAATCAAGGAAACAATAAAAGCTCACACATTACACTGTCTTGAACAGACAGCAACTCCATTACCAAGAGCAGCAGTTCAACACTATACTGGAGGAGTCAGGTTTGTTGAAATGGCTTCAAGAAAAGTAACTTCTTGCCTGGCAGTCAGTTTTCCTGTCCCCCACATGCAGGTGTCTGCACCCAGGCACAGCTGGGGTGTCCTGGCCTTTCCAAAATACACAATATTCTGCTGCTCAGTGCTGCCCACTCAGCCACTTACAAGGTGCACACAAATGCCTGGGATGCGGCAGTTTGGAGACGGGACTCGACAGTAATCCAACAGTGCTGGGCCCACTGCTTTTGAAGGGCTTTAAAAACACACCTGTGAGCTGTCTGAGAGTAAAAGTACAGCAGAGTTTGGTTTGTTGCTAAGATACAACATTTGAAAACATGATGGTAATGCAGTGCTTCCTCCTGGAAGGTGACAGGGAGTAGAGGAAAGCACAGTGTACGACCCTGCATTGCACGTCCATTAAATACTGCCTTGCTACTGCTCCTCAGACTGTGCTTTTGGTTTAGGGAAGTCAGAGTGGACACAACAGAGCCTCAAAATCTAACACTACTTCAGACTTGGTTTCCTTAGTGACACTTTTAACAGAATATTCTACACACAACACACCAACACAGCAGTGATACCAACCAAGTTTACCCCTAAAAAACCAGGTGCACGGTAATATTGCATAGAAAGGTCTCCTTGGTAGAAATGCACTGGGACTAGGGGGGATTTCCTGCCTTGCTAAACAAAAGCACATACATTTCAAAAAGCATATCTCACGTTCGACATTTTTCTTAGCTATATTCTTTGGAATTGCTAGTGCATATGTTATTTCAAGCATATTTTATTCTGCACGCTACTATTTGATATTAAAAGAGTAAAACTGGAAGGAAAGCTGTTTTTCTGCCTCCCCCCAGAACGGAATGTAAAATAATTTTTCAAGTTGTTGCATAAAAATAAAATCCAATCCTTCTCAAAAACAGAAAGCTCCAACACAACAGAATAGCTGAAGGAAGAGGATATTCATAAAAGACAGGACAATCCTGGGTTAAAAAAACTCTTCAAAATAAGTTAAAAGCAGCATTCAAGAATTGAGTAAAGAAAGGCCTACATTCACCTCCTACCTCAAACTGTACATGACTGCAGAGCCTTAATTTTGGTACTCAATCATATTTTCATTTTGGTAGGCAACACTGCCACAGTCAGCACATGGACACATGGAGTGTGTATGGGAGGAGAGTTAGGGGGAGCCTGTCAGAAGGCCATGCAGCACAGCATCACAAGGTAGAAGTCATTTTCTTCAACTACTCCTTACAGTGAGCACTTGACTCCCAACGTACAGAGAGTGCAGAGAGATTAAGCCCACCTAAAAGTTGTAACTAAAAGCATTATGCAGCATCAGAGAAATCACAGGAAAAGCTGTAAGGATGATCACATCTACACAACTACATCCCATAAAAAACTAGAACTTCTGCTCTCAGATAGAATATTTATATTTAGAACATCTGTGTAAGTGGTAAATATATACAATAAATATATTTTGTTATACTATCTATAGTCACAGTTTTTTTACCCAGCGACATAATTTTAGAGGTATACCAGGAAGATGTGGTTCTGACAGTAAATTCTGTCATAGTAATGTAGGAAAATACTATCAAATTCTTCTGGCTGCTGCAGATAACAGCTGAAAGTGCTTCAGGAATTAGAATTAATATTATATTTTTAGAATTCATTTTATTTTAATAAGAAAGCCATTGGCATTCTGTGGGACAGTTAAGGAACAAATAAGATTTCTTCCTAGGAAATGCTGAAAGGCACGTAAAGATTCCAATATAGATATTTAATAATGCATTAAAAAGCAGATTTGGAGCATTCTTGTAGATGATGTTAAAACACAGAATTAGCAGATGCGTGCCTGTTGGTGCTACTGAGAAACATTTCACATATGTGTGAAGAAGTCGTGTCTTTATATGACCAGACATCTGCTCACTGCAGTGATCCACCGCCCCCCACATGTGCTGGAGTAACAGTGTGCACTCACTCTGCTACTGAACGACACACTGAGGCACATGCATATGCATCAAGAAGTTCTCTGCAAATGGCAAAAGAAGGAAATGGTGAATTAACCTGAAGAAATGCACATGTATTGACAATGAATGTGACGTTTCAATTCTTGTCCTTACGCTAATACAGCCAGCGAGCTGAAATTCGGTCACTTAATTGGTTTGATTCTTGTTGGGATTTGTACTAATTGGGTAGATTTCAGAAATACTGCTGTAAGAGGCATAGAATTGCACGCAAAAAAACCAAGCAGCTTAACTGTGCAACAGCAGACATGAATGTCTATGGGCATACAGTACAACTTACTGCAGGAGGGATCACCACACTGCACATGAAATAAGATGGCACGTTCCATAAAGCTACGACTCTGCACAGTGAATGACAGACACCTCTGTGTCACCAAAGACACCAGCGATGAGTAACTCGCTTAGAAGTGAAGCACACTACCTAAGGGTTGTTGCCTTGCCTACACCATTCTACATCACTTGGAGGGGAAGGCGGCGTGGGCTTCAGTCAGACCAATGAAAATATTTGATATTTTTGTTCCAGAAGAAGCCTGGCTTAAAGACAATTCACCCCCCCCCCCCAAAATAATTCAAATATTTTGCTCTGCCTCGCACTCAGTGCACCTGCACTTTTTTTTTTTTTTTAAATCTGCCTTGAGAATAAACTGATGTGATAGAAGTGAAATTGTGTAAGCAAAGCAGTGCACCTTTGGCATGTATTGCTGAGGAGTTTCTATTTAAACACCTCAAACTTGTTCCACAGACTTTGCCAGCAGCATCCTCTGAGCCACCTGGGCCACCTTCGAGGCTTTCAGAAGTCCCTGTGTGCCTCCAGAAGACTTGGTCTTTTACTGGAGTTACACACACGTCACTGATAATCTGCATTCAAGCTCAAACCCATAAAGCTACCCAAAATTTAGAGCTGAAGACAGGCTGAGCTGCTTCAAAGCTCGGGAGTCTGCTTTGCAAAATGCTCTTCTTCTGTGCTACATCCCACAAAGGTTTAATATTCAGATATTTATTTGACAAAGGGGTTAAACCTTCATAAATAAAGTTATAGCTCCGGTTAACCCCCACTGCACAGAAATTGCTTTTTCCCCACAAGCAACAGCATTGGGATGCTCCAGAATAAGTTTCTGTTTAGTATGTGGGCAGAGAAGGCCAAGAAAAAGCATTTAGGAAAGCTACAGCAAAACTGAAGAGATGTTTGGCTGTATTCCCACCATATCTCACAGTGCTTCCAAACAGAGATAAGTCCTTTTCCTTCTCTCCAGCATTAAGGCTCTTACAAAAAGCCAGGTTTAAAACTAAAAGACACTTGGGCTTTCATGAGAATACGCTTAATACGCTTTTATCACAAACTAAGACCTAGTTCTGCAATTCTATCTTTATAGACACAGTGTTACTTTATTACAAGATCAGGGCCTTAATATTCTAACACGTGAGATGCTCAGTAGGTCCTAGCAATATGTTTCTTTTAAGACCAGAGGGATGGGAAAACTTGGTAGGGAACTAAAACCAAGCTATGATAATATAGAGCAGCTACTGTCACTGTGATTTTCTATTAGGCCAGAAAGAGGTCTAGAAGAATTAAAGGAAATGCTCTTTTCCCATCATGTAGACAAATCTTTTTCTCCAGAATTCATCAGTTCAATTATTCTGACAGCACCAGGAGACATAAGTGCTCCCAAATCCCATCCAAGTCAAAAGGTTCCATGACAACTTGACACCAACCAAGCTGTCTGAGATACTTACTGAGATACTAACTCAAAAACACATTAGAATTAATAGAATTAATGTCATTCCTGAAAAACCTAAAGAAGATCCAAAATGTTCAAGACTGCATCTTACAGCCCTGCATGAGATCATGTCAGAGCAGGTCCAGAGGACAGCCACAAAAACACTCCGAGGGATGGGACACCTCTCCTATGGGGACAGGCTGAGAGCTGGGGCCGTTCAGCATGGGGAAGAGAAGGCTCCAGGGAGACCTGAGAGTGGCACCTAAAGAGGCTGTAAGCAGGAAGGACACAGGCTCTGTAGCAGGGTCTGCTGTGCCAGGACAAGGAGAAGTGGTTTCAAACTAAAAGAGGGGTAATTTAGACTGGATATAAGGAGGAAGTTTCCTCAGTAAGGGTGGTGAGGCACTGGCACAGGTTGTGCAGAGAGGTGATGAATGCTCCATCCCTGGAGTCACCCAAGGTCAGGTTGGATGGGCTCTGGAGCTGTAGAGTCCCTGTTCATTGCAGGGCAGCTGCACCAGATGGCCTCCAAGGGTCTCTTCCAACTCAAACGATTCTATGATACCAACACGAGTTTTGCCACTCTGAGCAGTGACACTTCAGAGGTCCCTCTCCTGCACGCAGACACGTGCTGAGCTCCTGGAGGGCAGCACCGGGCAGCAGCACAACCCGTGTCCACTGCCTCAAAAAGCAAGCTGGAAAAAGAAAACCCTTCACTGCTCGTACCAATCTAAAGCACAGCTTTGAAGGCAGAAGTCAACGTACTCTGCCATCCCAACGTTTTTACTGATACACTTATTTTCATATGGCAAGACATGGCTTCTCTTCAATAGGTCAGAGCTCATCCAGCTTTGTGCAATCTGCCTTTTTCCAGAATGAGGGAGAAGAAAAATGGGAGTGTTTTCCAAGCACTCCTGCACCGACAGCTCAGCTGAGGAACCTCAGTCAGACGGGAGATGGAAATCAACCCGCAGGGTCGAGAGCCACCGTCACGGCCGAGCTCCCGCCACCTCCGGGCGGGGCGGCTCCACCGCAGCGTGACAGACCCTCAACCGCACAGCGCCGTCTTTCAACGGCAGCACTTTCCTAAATACGCTCGAGTACGCCGAGCGCACAGCCCACACCCGCCGCCCGCAGCCGGACGCCTGTCCGGGACACAAAGCACACGTCGGTTATCCGCAAGCAATTCCAAGCGTCCTCCGCCGACTTACAGCGCAACGGCGCGGCGCGGGGCGAGGCCGGGGCCGCTCCGTCAATCAGATGAAGTGGATCCAGGCGCTGCTGTCGGGGTCCTGCGGCGGCCCCGAGGCGGGGGAGCGCGCCCGGCCCCGCAGGCGGTAGTTCGAGCCGCCGTTGTTGTCCCAGTACTCTGCCCCGGCCACGCGGTAGCGGACGGCGAACTCCAGCGCGGCCTCGGAGCCGGCGGCGGCGGGGCCGAGCGGCAGGTGGAAGGCGAAGCGGTCGGTGATGCCGTCGGCCGGCCCGGCGGGCTGATAGGCGGCGGGCACCTCGCCGCAGCTGGCCCAGCGGTCGAGCGTGTAGCGCACCGACACGGCCTTCTCGTAGGCCAGGTTGAGGACGCGCACGGCGCCGCGCAGCCCCGCGGGTTCGCAGCGCACCCACTCCAGCCTCACCTTGTGCTGCCGCACGCGCTCCGCGAAGCCGGGCCCGGCGCCGGGCTGCGGCGGGAACAGCGGCTCCAGCGGCGGCGGCAGCGGCCCGAACAGCACCGGCTCCAGCTCGCCCAGCACCGGCGGCTTCCCGGTCTTGAAGAGGTCGGCGCGGCGCGGCGCGGCGGGCGGCGGCACGCGCGGCAGGTCGGCGTCGCGGAAGTGCCGCACGGAGATGAGCTCCAGGCCGAGCGAGTCGGCGAAGCGCACGGTCTTGCGGCGCGAGGGGCTGTGGCGCGGGGCCGGCCGAAGGCCGCGCTCCCCGGGCGTGGGCAGCGACTTGGCGCGGCGGCGCTGCGTGGGGCTGGGCGGCGCGGCGGGCGGACGGGGCTCCCGGCCGCGGGGCGGAGGCGGCGGCTTCTCAGGGGCCGCGTCCCGCGGGGCGGGCGGCGGAGGAGCGTCGCCGTCGGGGCTGCGGCCGCCGCCGCAGCGCTCGGCCAGGCTGCCGTAGAGGCAGGCGCTGCAGCTGAAGTTCCGCGGCAGGTAGAGCCGGGGCGGCGGAGCGGGCACGGCGCCGTGCAGCGAGGCCGCCTTATCCATGGGGGCGGCGGCGCTCAGCGCTCGGCGCTCTGCGGCGGCCGTTCTCCCGCGGCCGGTGCCGCTGTGCCCCGCGGGCCGTGCGGCGCTGCGGCGGAGCCGGGCAGGGGCGCGCCCCGAGTCATCCCGCCCCGCCGCTGCCCTACTTCCAGCACCGCGCCGCCGCCTTCTGGGTCTTTCCTCGAGGAGTTCAGCCAGGGGGAGGAGGAGGAGGCGGCGGCACAAGCAGGGATTCCCCGGTGGAGGCGCGGAGGTGCATCTCGCGGCGCCGTGCTCCGCCGAACGGTGCCAGAAATAGCTGCGAAAGGAAGGAGCGGAGCCAGGCTCAGGCAGATTAAAGGGGCCGATAAGAAACAGCTGGCTGGCAGCTCGGTTCTCGCAGTGTACATTTAAAGGAAGAAATCCAACTAATCCGCGATAATGCGGTTACGGTGCATCTGCTGAGGGAAACGGACGCGCCCGGCCGTGCCGCAGCGCAGAGCAGCCCCCGTCACGGCACGAAGGGTGCGAGCCGCGGGGTTTGGTGCGATGACGGCCGGCCGGCGCTCCGATGAATGGCAGGCGATGAGAAACGGAGCGGCGCAGCTCTGCGCGGAGCTGAAATACCGCCCGGCAGAGCCGCCTCGCTCCGGTCTTTCCGTAATCTGGTGCTCGTTTTTAATTAGTAAATTGCATTAAAAACAGTGATCCTGCCAGAGGCTGAGTCTGAACTATGCGGACGTGTAATTCTGGCTTAACTCCTGAGCTTTTCCACCTTCGTCACTCCGCCCGCGTCTCTGTGACCGGCGATGAGGGTAACGGTGGGAGCAGCGAACCTGACGGAACCGAACAGCCGCCAGAACACGGGGCACAGCTCAGTGTTGGCTCACATCAGGAATATCAGCTTCAATCCCTTTCTTAGGAAGCGTGAAAATAATTGCCAGGTTATTTCCAATGGATTCTAAATCTCCTTAGAGACACGTAAGCAAGGAAAAATTATGCCTTGCAGTGTTAAATTTGACACCATTATTGTTATTATTATTGTTGGCTAACGTTAATTTCAGTTTAAAACCACTAAACAGAACTTCGTATATTACACGAATATGTAAAGTCTTTGTATTTTTAAACGATGGTAAGACTATGATAACTAATAAGCTGCAGTGCTGAAAGCTGTACAGGAAAGCAGTTTTGTCTTTGTGTAGTGCCGACAAAGCTGCTTGGGCTCATTTAGCTTCTGCTGCATTTCACACAGTGGGGATGTCAACTTCCCCCTTCTGGTAATTTTAGTTGCTTCACTACTTAGCATAGGCTTGTGTCATACTTCTGCTTTTTGGCTTTTTCATGTCTCTCGTTTGCTTCACAAAATTCTAGTAATATTTCATGAAAAAGGAAGGAAAGAAACAAGTCCTTTTTGGACTGATGACTGTAAGCTACAGAGCTTGTGTGACAAAGCTGAAAACCGTCCATTCCCCAAAGTTAGCACAGCAAAGACATAAAAAAAAAAAAAAAAAAAAAAAAAAAAAAGTTCCATGATAAGAAAGCAAAAACCCAACGTCTTCAGCTTTGGACTGGTCAGGTCAAAGCAATGTGAGCTGCAGAGGGGCAGCCCTATAAACAGAGCCATACCATGAGCTGCTCAGAAATCTTTTGCCATCTCTTTTTTTGCAAAGGAAAGAGTAGAAAGAAAATAAATGCATGGCCACTATAAATAACTTCAGAGACAATCCTCGTGGAGTAAAGCTGAAAGAAGGCTTTTTAAAGGCTTCTGAAAATTGGGAATTAAATGAGACAAATAATGAAAAGCTCAGTGTAGCAGCTAATCCTACAGGTGCTCAGGTTTTCACCTGCAGTTTCCCTCACACACCTCAGCTTCTCACAAACACCTCAGCCTTGTCTTTGCTGGGCACTGAAATTTACCAGATGTGCACAGACAGCTTCTCCAATGGCCTTGTGCTGTGATGGGTTTGTAACAGGAAGCAGCAGACACCTTCATTTCTAACAGGAAATGATTTCAGCTTTGCCTGCTGTAAATATTTGTGCACCGCGCTGGAACTCTTAGAAGTGAGCAAGTGCTACAGCATGAACAGAAACTGTGCCTTAATATATGCAGTGGTAGCCATACACCACCCCCTCTGTGTTACAAACATGTACATTTAAAAGTTGAATCTGTCTGCTGTTTTACAGCGCGTTATGACAGGGATGTTAGCCAAGGCTCCTCTGTGAGTGGGAACAAAATTAGTTCTGCTGTAGCTTCAGCCCCTTCAGCTATCATCCTTCTGCTGGAAAATAGTACTTCTATGATGAGACAGTTTTGAAAGTTCCAGCAGGAATAGACCAGTTGTCATGTAAATGCTGGAGCTACACAGTGTTGCTCTATTATACTGTAAGAGAACCAAAAGGTTTTATATTATATTAGGCATAGGAAATGGCAATCAGTCTGGCACTGTTGGCATCCTTTTGCACATTTAAGGGGTGCAATTCATAGAAAAAAATGTTCTCCTAATAACGCTGTCGTACTCACTTTCTGCAGACCTTCCAGCTGATACAAGCAGCTAAAGGCAGCCTCTGCTCTGCTGTGTGCCATTGCCTGGCCCTGACACTTCTACAGTGCCAGACTGCATTTCAAGTCAGCCCAATGCCTGAAAGCTTCCAGCTTCTCATCTTGCCGTTCGGTCCTCTATTTTATTATCATTTAAACAATTCAGAGAAAAAAAGGCAGAACTGAACCAAATCATAGAGGGCAATGAACTGAGCTCTCTTCTGCTGCATTTAGCTGTTGTCCCGACTCCAGGTAATCTAGGAGAAAGCAGATGCTGGTGCTGGGGAGCATTGAGCAGAACTATGAAGGAACCATTAACAGGGAGAGGAGTGTCTGTGTGCTGGGGCTTATCCAAAGTGGCCATTGTCACATATCTGCCTCAACTTTCCAAAACAGGTTTATTTATAGCAATGAGAACTGTGGAGAGAGAAAATGGATGTAAAGATGAAGAGCATTATGATTACATCAGCTTTTGAGATGAAGCAGTAACTCAGTGCGTGCATTCAAAAGGTCGGCTTCTGCTCTCATTCAGTTATTACCCTCACCTAACCAGGACGTGTGGTCATTATCTATGAAGATGTAAGCTGTATGATGCACAAGAGTTTATCCAGGATGTTTGATTTGAGGGGTTAGTGAATGATTTCCAAGGGACTGCACGTTCTGATGAACAGAGAGGTGACAGCTTGGAGGGTTACTCTGCAGTTGGGGAGTTTGGATTTAAATATACACATATATATATTACTTTAAATATCAGGATCCAAAGAAACCTACGATAACAAGAAAATGGAGTTGTAAGAGTTTACTTCAGTTCGTGACCTTGTGAATCTGCCTTCTGTGTGCCCTGATGGAGCTCTACGCAATTTTATTAGGTAAGCGTTAACCACCCCTCCAGACTCTGTGATTGGCTTTAAGGCTTTGGGAAAGTGTGGGAGCTAAAAAAAGCCCCAATTAAGACTGCAGTGGAAAAGCAATAAACAAACAAACAAACAAATAAATAAATGAATAAGAGATCTATCTTGTTCTTTGGAAGTGAAAAACACCATTCATTTATAGTATTATTTTCTCATAGGAATAGTTGTGTTCTTTTTAAAAGGATTCACCGAATTACAGAATCGCCAAGGTTGGAAAAGACCTCCAAGATCACTCAATCCAATCATTTACCTACCACCATTACTTCCCACTAAGCCATGTCCTTCAGTGCCACACTTAAACCCTTCTTGGGTGACTCCACCACCTCCCTGAGCTGTTCCAGCTCCTGACCAATCTTTTGGAGAAGGATTTTTCCTAATATCCAACTTGATTACTTGTTTGCAGCACAAAGTGTTTGCTTCCTTCGGGTGCTGTCAGCTACTTTCCCCCACCTCCCATCCCTCCTGTTCCAGGCCAGCACTGCCTCCTTTCCTCACACAGAGGCGTGGGTTCCGTCAATTGTCAGAAGCACTCCTCAGGCTCACTGCCCTCCAGGCCCACCGCCAGCCCCTGGCACTGGGGGAATGCAGGGAAGGGGAAGCTCAGCCATGCCCCCCTCATCCCTGGGGAAGCTTCCCTCCTTTTGCAAAGCTGGATGGGAAATAACATTTTTTTCCTCTTTGAAACAATTTCATGGAGGTGTGGTTGCTAATCAGTTTTACACACAGTGAGGAGAAGTTGCATGACCCCTCAGAGAGCAGTGTTGACCTGTCACAAATAAACACGTCAGAGGTCAGAGAGTCTGTTCCAGCTCAGCATAAAACTGAAAATCCACATGGAAAGGTTGTGATACTCTCTGCTCTATTTTTCAGTTCAGAGCTCTTTCAGAACACGAGGTAACTGGATAGGAATGACATCTGCATGTTATTTTGTTCTTAGAAGAAAACTCAAATAGCAGGAATGCTCATTTGCATCAGCAAAGACTACTTCCTCTACATTTTTCTCCTTGCAGTGCTCTGGACTGCCTTAGATTTATCCTTTCTCTATGACCAGGTGCACAGCTGGGATAGAACCAATCCACTTGCCTGCTTTCAGTTGCAAAAGCAAGTCAAACTTTAAGTCAAACGAAACTTCCAAGTGCTGCTTAGACACGTAGGACAAGTAGACACCTGCTTAGACACTTAGACAAGTGCTCCTGTTCTGCTCAGACATGTTGCCACCTATTGACAGAAGTGCAGATCAAGAAGCCAAGACCACAAAACATTAGTTGAAACCAGAAAACAATCAAGTGTAGATGCCACCACCAGTGATACCACTTCAGGAAGAGATGTCGATCCATTCTACCAAGTCTAATTGCTGTTCTACAACACATGGCATGAAAACAGTAATATGGAACAAAAAGGTGCACTCTGTTCAAACCTAGCAAGGTGAAAAGAGCCTGTCAATAAAAGCCAACTGTATGTGGAACTGAGCAGCTCTGAACAATACACGAAGCAATAAAACCCCAGGCACTTGATGTGCTTGATCCACATGACTTGGAATACTTGACTTCAAAATCTTCACAAATACTTCCACCTGTGAAAGATGCCACTCCCAAGGACACTTCAGACCCCTCTTGGAAGAATAAAAAAGGCATTATCTCTCCGAAGGTGCTCAGTGGTACTTCAGTTGATACTGCTTCCCGTAGCCATGATGCTAAGTGAACAGAGCAGAAGGATAAAAAGGGAGCCAACATCATGAATGATAAATGAGAGGAAACATAGCAATTCATGAACTACCACAATTCTTCTCAAGCCATACAGAGCTCACACTCCTGCAAGAAGATCCTGAGCACTTATCCTGGGACTTTTCTCCTTGTTAATTTCCTGTTTAATTTCCAGGAAACATGTAAGGAATTTTTTAGCAGTAGCTCTTGTCCTCCCTGCTCTTCAGTCACAGTGCCACAGTTACTCATTCTGACAGAACAGAGACATCCTCCAACAAGCCATTCTCTTCCTTTCTTCGTCCCCATCCCTCTCACTTCCCTATAGGCAGTATCCTTTCTTGTGCTGTGCTCCATTTACACTTGTCAAGTCCTCTCTTTTTCACTATGTAGAAAATTCAAACATGTATGCATCTGTGAAATGAATAACATTAATAGCATAGCCTGGAAGGAAAAATAACAGTCTCCCATTCAGAGAACAGAAAACATTACTATTTCAGTGAGAAAAAATGAAAAATAAATGACGTTAACACAGTAAAAAACATGTTCATTATAGTGATTGCAAGTTGCTCTGCAGATGGCTAATAAATTCTTCAAGACAACAGAAAAAAGGTTAAACATTGAAATTAAAAAATATATTTCCCTGTTTTCCAGTTGCTCACCAAATAAGACTATTTTGCTGAAATTTCTGAAACAGTCAAGTATCTCACAGATTAGGAGTTCTTACTATAATTTGATTCATAAGCATGTGTGAAAATGGATGTAAGTCACAGCCAGAAAATACAGAGGACATAGAAAAATCTTTAAGCTCTTTCTCTTGTATAGAAAGTGAAGATCTATGTTGAGATTATGATTGCACTTGCTTAGGGTACAGGTGATTTTTTTACTGTTGGAAGAGCCCACAAATAACTAACATAGCTCTACTGTTGTTTCATATGTAAAAGGTTGCACAGAGATGCTATCAGGTATGAACCAAGCACTCCCAAAATACTGGTGAGCAAAATTGCTACTGACATGCCTTCTGTAAGCATGGCAGTGGTAGCTTGGAGACTCGGCCCAGTCAACCAAGTTAACAGGAAATCAATTAAAAACCGATTACAATTTAGTTTCCAGCAAGTCCACTGCAAGAAACACTGTTTCCAGGAGGGGAACATTTCTAGTTTACTGAAGCAAACCTTCCTTTGTGCTTCCTTCACACAAGACTTGAAAGAAAGGGATAACAAAATAAATGTAAGAATTTGCCAAGAAAGGAGGGAGGAAAGTAACAGAAGGCACCCAGAAAGGCTGCCAAGGCCTAGAACATAAATTCACAGCACGTGATAAGGCCTAATTAAGTTATGTGACCTTGACGACATTGGGTTCATCTGCCACAGGAAACAGCAGCTTCTTGTTTACAATCAGATTCTCTCAGGAATAAAGCCAGTCCTGTCCAGGGAAAGGAAACAAACTTAATTGCTAGATCAGCTGGAAGGGTTTCCTGTATTCAAGGCACTAAAAAACAAAACAAAACAAACAAACAAAAAGAACTGCTGATAAGTGCAAGAATACAATGAGACAACATGAGACAACACCTGAAAGTTAAATCAACACTTTATTTTTATGTCCAAACCTCTCAAGGACCAATTCCACAGGACATATCAAATCCTGGAGCCAGAAAGAAAACTTGCCTCTCCCTTCAATTGTTTTGATGGAATGCAGTCAGCTTGCGCAGATACAATTTCTTGAGGCAAAGGAAATTCAGAATCTACATGCAAACTGATCAGCAGTGCTTTCACCACCAACGGAAGGAATAACAGTAAATTCTCATCAACACCAAACAAGAAAGCATTTAAAAAATGGGTGGAGCTTCCCTGAATTCTAAACAGCCATAATCTTCCTTTCAAGCTTAAGAGTCTGTCCTGCCTTCCAGACCATCTTGACAGCTTCGAAAGCTTCACAAGAATGGTCTGTTTGAAGTGTCTGACTGCTGTCTGTAGGGCAGATCTGCTCCGACTGAATAATAAGCCTGAAATAACACCACTAAACTCACCAGCGTCTCATTCTTGCAACAGGAATAGCCTGTAACTTCAGCAAGGACAGTCAGTGCCTTATGCATCTGATTCTTTCAAAGATAACTTTAAATGCTCTAAAGAGAAATGCATCCAGCCTCCAGGAAATACCTTCCATCCTTTGCTACCACTACAACTGAAAGCTGCATTGTGCAAATAGTGACCTCAGCGTGTAATAGCACTGAAAGCAGCAGCATGGAACACCACAGAGTGTTTCAGTAGTGACTGCAGCCACTGTAATAGTACAGCTGAGCTTTCCATCACAGTGTGTGCTCATTCATCTTCTCTGAACTAATATGCGAGTTGACAAGATATACAAGAGCAGAAATCAGCATTCTGTATTTTCCAAATAACAGAAAAGGTTTGGATCATTATTACTAAGCACAGGGCTTATCCAGGAGGGGAAAGGGACAACTATCATCCACGCTCCTACTCAATCTAGTCTAGCTTTTTAAATTTTAATGGTATTAAAACTTACTCTATGCATTAAAATATATAGCAAAATAATATAAGCAAATAAAAAGGACTGTAATTTTATTGTAGGATATTCTGAAAGCTAATTATCAGAACATAGTTAATTTCTGCTAAGGACTCTTGAAAATTACAGGTTTAGGTAAGAGTGCTGAAAAACACCAAGTAATCCTCCTGGCCCAAGAGCCTCTTGTGGAAAAAAAGACTTACCAGGGAGCAGAAACTGCTGCAGAGGTGCTCCTCGTGTGTACAAGATGATTAAAGGCAGATTGAATTTTGCACACATTAAGGAGATGGAGCACCACTCCTCCAGCCCAAATGCTGCTGGTCAAAAGAATCCAGCCCAAGCTATATACATCCAGTTTGGCACAAAAACTCTAAGCAAAGGCTCACTTAAAGGAAAGAACCTCCCTGATGGTTGTTTCAGATTCATAAAAATGCAGCATCTTCTGATTACATTTGTGTTGTATGCTTTAAGTGCCCGGGATTCATTGAGAAGTAGAAAAACACAGGAAAACTTAAATTTTTCCTGCCTCTGGAGATGAAGGACTGACATTGTAAGATTGCTGTAAGTCACAAAAACTACCAATTCAAAAGAGAGCTGGCTTTCCAAAGATAAGATGTTGCAGAGCAAGGGGTGGTACTTACTAACAGGCACTGTATGCCCTACTTGTGCCCTCTACAGAAGATCACAGCAGAAAACAAAGGGCAAAAATTGATTGAAATTCACTTTATTCCAAAATATGTATAATTTACAGGACTAAATAAGTGCTTCACCTGTGAACACAAGGTTTCAATACTTGTGTGAATAACTTACTAGTAGCTCTGTGTAACAGTTCAGTTTCCAACATAAGGAAATATGAATCAGTATTTTGGCACAGTTTTTTTTGTTTTTTGTTTTTTTGCTGCATGCATTGATATACTTAAATGTTTCACAATTGTTAGGACAACATTCCTTCTTTGGGACTGTCACTCGTAAAACAGGTATCAGAAACAAATACTTGCTTTTCTCTGCTTATTGCAAGTTTATTGGCTTACATAGCAAGAATCAAACATGAACAACCTTTGAAAACCAGATTTGCCTGCTAGATCCCACCAGTGATGAGAATATTTTCAGGACATTGCTCAGCTTTATTAACTCACACATGCTTTGGGAAAGGCTCAACCATGAGATGCATTACTCATCATTCTAAATAGTTACAAGTTTAAACTAGATCAATATCAGGTTTTGAATTCTGTAAGTTGAAAAAAATATGGCTGCTTTCATACCTAGCTTTATTTTTACCATAAATGCACTTGCAAATATCTGTAAAATAGAGTACTGTCAATCTAGCTCTGCAAGTGCCTGAAGCATGCATGTAAAGCATTCCTCACTGTGAAATGGCTACAGCAGGGCTTACTTCATCACAAGCCACCCATCATATTCCACTGCTAGTTACATTGAAGATACTCCTGAAAAACCAGCACATGAGAAAGAATCAGAAGTGAAGGACTTCTTTTAACTAGAGATCTGCAGCTCAGTCACAGATTTGCACTGTTTCAGGCTGTCTGATGACATTTTCAGTAAAGAGGAAGAGTCACACACATGAAGACAAACATCAACCTGACTGCATGGCAACGCAGAACTGAACAATGTAGGTTCCTTGATGCTGTTCACTGCACAGCAATGGCACTTTAAACAAGAAAATGCAGTCATGCTCTAACCAGTAAATCCTTTTAGCACCCATTTTGATTCACATGAACCACAGAAAGAAACAACAAATCAAATCAAGACCCACCACAACAAAAGGAACAGAAGATGCACGTTTGCACCATGCATTGAAGCAGCTTGCTGTTCAACAACCCTATCCTCATAGTGTTCAAGTGGAATTGTTACGGAGGTCTATTCACAGTAGATCTATTTTGAACACAAGCATAGCAGCACCTTCAACCAAACAGGAATGAAAAAGCTCACAACATTAGAAATATTTTGGTGTGAATGTATTTGGAACTGTAAATTGTACATTGAGATGATGGTAAAAAAAGAAAGAAAGAAAAATGTCAAAAGTAGCCAAAAGGAAGCTGTGCAAACTGATAATAAAGGCAAGTAAGTTTGGTTCACCTCTGAGTTGTCATTTCAGTAACATTTTGCAAGTTTAGCACCTTACATTGATTCAGTATGGGTCTATTGATCTTACTTATCCCACATTTGAAAGGTTATTAAAAAAAAGTCAAAATCAAACCAAAAAGCCCTGAAGACCCTAAGATCCCAATCCTGCCAATGCCTACATCTCTTACGCAGCCACACAGAAAGATCAGTTTGCATCTGTCTCTGCACATGAGGGTGTGCTACCACAATAAAGACTTAAAACAGTGGAAGGCAGTCACCTTCCTTTGGTCTGTTGCCTCTACACTCTCAAGGTATATGGCTAACAAGGAAATTTAACCTTTTGCTTTCTTTCAATTGAGAAAAGATGTGAAAGTGAGTCTTGAAATAAAATATGGAAAGGATTGTTAGTTACATGCATTAAGTTACAGACCCTGAACTGTTTAAAACTGGAGGTTTTTTTACAGCTTTTAAAGTTAAATAGCTGCACACATCTTTTTCCTTAAGATTTCACATCCTTTGGAAGGGAGAAGTTTCTAGACACAAACAGCTTCACACAGCTAGATTCTGGAGCATTAGTACTTCAAACTAGCAAGATCTCTTAGGCTGCTTTTAAGAGCCAGAGGAGGACTCCCTCCATTCCCAAAGCAGAAACAAGCATTTACAGCCATGGTAGTGGAAACGGACATAAGCCTAACTCCAAAAAATAGAAGAAACTCTATTTACTCTCATACAAACAAACATGTAAGGCAACAAGACATGACGTAAGACAGAACTCTATTTTTTTTCTCTTTTTCTGAGGCTGTTTTGTGCTTTTCTTAGAATGTGTGTCCTACGTTTTCCTGGAACACAGTTAACTTTTCTAACAGTCAATGCTCTCCCAGAAGCCAAAAGTTTCAAGTACATCTGCTCAGTTTTGCCCACTCACACACACTAACAGCCAGTGGGGGATTACAGCCATCAGTTGACCAAACACAGGTGTAAAATTTATCTTTTTTTCTTTCCAGAGAAGCTGCACTGAAGAATTCAAGCATGGAACTTAATGTACACACAACTGTATTCTTCTTAAACAGCACAAAACTAAATTCTGCAAAGATAACTGTGACTTATGATTATCCTCAGCTATCTGAAGAAAACTAAGACACTGATATTTTGAAATTGTTTAAAACAAATTGGATAGCATAGCTAACAAATTCACCTTTCCCGACCAGTTCTTAGCAGAATGCTGTAGTCTCAGCAAGGTTGAACTTACAGTAAACTAAATGCAGGAGGAAGGTGTTTGGTTTTTTTTTCTGACACCATGATGGACCATGAAGAATTTGGAAATAGCCTGACCAACCGCAGCAATCTGTCAGACTCTACAGGTTAGTGGAGCACTATCTTTCCCAGAGACAAAATACTGGACTTGCTGAAGCAGTGGTTAAAAGACAGTGGCATATCTCAGACTTTCTTCTTAAATACAAAAGAAACACACAAGTCTACCACTAATTAGACTAATTAAACTACTAATTCAGTTTTAGAATAGTATTTACACAGACATCCAGATCAAGAGCCAGCAATGGCAGCATAACTTAATTAAGCAGGAAATGCAAACAGCAAGCACAAGTAGTATTAGTATCACTTCCAGATAAAAGTTTGTGCTGAAAGGTTGTGGACAACCTGATGTTACTTTTCATATAGCAGCTCAAATGGCAGTGGAGAACACAGAGGAGAGAATGAGCAAAATAGTAAGTCACTACTGACCAATACTTACAATAGAGTCAGAGCCTTGAAAATCAAATCAGAGTCAAACTGCAGAAAAAGGGAGATAAGTATCATTTTAGTACTACCAAGAAATAGCTCTCAGTGAAGTTTATTTTGAAAACAATGGTCAAAATAGTCCATTACCCATTTAAAATCAATTGTTTCATTTTTAAGAATAAGCAATATTGACTAATGATATTTTGGACCAGTTTTCAGTAGCTTTACTGTGGGATTCAGCAACTACAAACAGCCTGATTGCAGCCTTTGCATTTTCACAAAAATATTTAATATATCCAAAATGAAGGACATACGCCACCAGTGCAGGACTCTGATACTTATCAGATCACTGTGTTGACTTCAGTATGGCAATGTAAAGAGCAGTAAGATAAAATCAAAAGGTATTGCTCATTTTCAAGAAGACAAGCTAGCTGTGTTGGGTGAGTAACTGTGACTGTACTCCCACATCCTTGAGCTGAAGATATGAAGCTGTGCACAAAGCATAGCAAGTCTTCAAGAACTGCAGCTTGGACAGCCGTTAGTGGTGGGACACCTAGCAAACACACAGCCAGGACCTCCAACAACAGAGAAGTAAAGCCCAAGAACATGACACAAAGGTGTTCCATTTTTCAATTAATGTAATAGAAACTAAAACCTGTCCAGGACAAAACCAGAGGCCTACATTTCTGCAGGCATTACAAGAAGATAAGAATCAGTTAAGGCCAAATTCCAGCATACATTCACAACTGGCTTTGTTTTTTCCATGTGAATACCTCTGCTACAAGCACAGTACGAAGGGTAAAATAAACATACAAAAATCCAAGAGGTCACATGTTTCTCTTTGACAGATCAGTCCAAGTTTTTGATTACACTCAGAAAACTTTCCAAAAGCTGCAGGAACCACCTGCTCCTGACCAATGTGCAAAAGTAAAATATATATTTTCTGAAGGGTTTTTGGGAGCACATCTCCCAGCTCTGTTGTATGCAGGTGAGTTTGCTTCAGTTCTGGAAGCATAAATCCAAGTACAGGAAAAGAAGTATTTCACAGAATTCAGTTTCTCATCCTTGATGGTTTTTTTTAAGGTAGTGGAAATACAAACCATTGTGACATTTCCCAACTTACATCTTCATAGGAAATAGAGGAATTTCAGAGAAAACAAACCATCCCAGTTTCTGAGGCACAACCATTGTAACATTTGTGTCTTACAGTCTCAAATAATCCAAGCAAATCCCTTCTGAAGACTTTAAATTACTTTAGTCCCATTTATGACACGGGCTAAAAGGACATTGTAACAATTTTCCAACTGATCATGTATTCTAAGCTCTTTTTCTACCCTTCAAAGGGCATCAGTAGCATCTGGGAAGAACAACTACTGTTTTCTACATATTCTGCAAACCATCAGCGCTCCGTAATTCAAGTCTACATGTATCTATGGCTGCTGGACGGGTGTTTAAGTTGCAATGTTCTGAACAGGAGAAAGAGCTGTGAAGGCATAAAGGAAAAGACAGTACGGCTTATTATGTTCACACCAGATGAAAAATACAAGCTACCAAAAAAAGTAAGCAGAAGTAGCTTACACTAAGAGAATCCTCCCCTGCAATTCAGGGAAGCATCTGAATTGGACAGGACAGGTTTTGGTCTAGCACAGTGGAACCCTATACATAAGCCAGAAATAGATACACATGGGACACTTTCAAAAGGTTCTTCAGTTTAAATGAAGCAGTTCGTAAAGAAGATTGAGCAAAAAACATAGGCACCACAAACTGTTTTTTTAAGGTTCAAATGTACATTAACATGTTATGCCCCCCCTCCCCTTTATGCACAGATAACTTATGTTGAAGTTACATTTTCAATTTAGTACCTTCAGCATGAAAAGTCTTTTAGGCCAACCGCACACAGTAACTACATTCAACAATGCGAAATGGGTTACTTGGTCGATGCATCTCTCCCACCCCAATAACTTAATTTCAAACCACAGGAAACAGTTCTGTCACACAGTACTCAATGACTGGGCTTGTCAGAGCTCTGAAACAAGGAGCACAGCTCTTCACAGGTCTGTGTCTCTACTGAACTGAACTGGGACTCCATTGTATTCCAGGCTAAGTCAGCCAGAAGAAAGTCATCCATTGCTGTCTGTGTCTCGTTGCTGGTAAGGAATAAATTCCCCAGATTCTCAAAGCAGCTATCCATAGTCTGTGTTTCAGCACTACTGAGCTGGACTTTGCTTTCTATGCTCTGGTTGGGTACGTTTTTAGTGGCAGGATATACTTCTGTCTGGGTTTCTGTATCTGAGGAGTCAGTGCTCATGGAGAAACTAGACTGCTTCAGAATACTTCCTAAAGGCAGATGGGTATTGCTGTCCAAAAAGAAATTCAGGTCTGTTTGCGTCTGTGTATCAAACATCTCCAAACCTAAGAAGTTAGAATTTCCTCTGCAGCTGTATGATTGAGTGGCACTATCTGAGAATAAGAAATCAGTTTGAGTTTCAATATCTAGTGACTCCAAAACTGGCTCGGAGGGTAGGGTACCAAGCTCACTCTCTTCAGTCTGAGTTTGGATATTGGACGCTGAAAAGAACTCTTCAATGTCAAAGTCTATTCCAGTGCTCTGCGATGAACCAGATGGCAGATGTGTGTCAGCATTAGAGCTAGTCTCAGACAAAAGGCCACGATTATCCAGTGTCTGGCCAGACATGTTTCCTGAAAAGATATTTTCCAGATCACTTAGCAAGTCCATTGTCTGAGTTTGATTATCCATCGTATTTTGAGGTGGAAGAATATTAGCCTGGCTACTGAAGCCAATAAGAGATTCAGACTTCACTGTGTCTTGATTGAGGCTCTTGCAATTACTCCTCTGCAGCAAGGTTTGATCTATATTTGTAGCCATTAAGTTATTTTCTGGAAGTTCAATTTGAGTAGAACCATTATATGATGAATGAACATTTTCAAAGATGTCACTGCACATTACAGCCTGGTCCATTTGCACTCGTCCATCGATAGAATCCTGCGTCCTACTGGTTTGAGTCTCTCTAGAAATGCCACACGTTGGAAAACAAGCCTGACTAAAATCATCAGTCTGAGCAGCTATGGACGAAGTCAGTTTGGAAGCAGGCAGTAATGTCTGTGTCTGTACGCTGATGGGTAATGAAACCTGTGAACTAAACGACAGATCTGTCTGAGAACAAGAAGATACAGAAGAATCGGGAGTCCAGGCTGCAGCTGGTACAAAATTTGGAGAAATATAAGATAAGTCAGTCTGTACATTTATTGAAGAAATTTTATTCTTGTGACAAACATTCCCCAGCTCTTGTCCTGGGCTATTTGATGCAACCTTATCCAAGTCAACTTGTACACCAGTACTTACTGCTTCGTTATCACCAGAGTTTGTCACTTTTGAAACTGGCATAGTATCTTTAAATACAAGTGTTTCCGCCTCCAGTGCTGGAATCAGAATTCCCACAGATTGAGGCAATAAATGAACAGTACTTACAACTGAACCTTGATTATCAACAGCCACTACAACAGGCTTGACAGAAGAATCTGCTGCAGATACATACACAGGCAAGTGAGCAAGCTGCATCACTGGAAGTTTAACCAAGGCCACCTTGGGCTTTGGCAAAAGCATCTTCGGTGTACATTTTGGGTGCACTTGCTTTGTGAAGTTAGAATTGCAGGAACCTTCAAAAGATGCCACTAGTTTCACTTCAGATGATTCCAGCTCCTGAGTCCCAGGGTTATTACTGTGTGTATCCATGAATGCTTTATTTGCTTTCTCTGACAACTGCTGATTATGTACAGAGGTTTCCATTTTCCTTTTCTTACTAGGAGGATCCCTGTGAATATGAGATCAATAATTTATGTTCCCTTCAAGCACAATACATCTGCCTTCCATTTTTTGAGCCACTGCACTGCAAATATTAACTCAAGTCCCAGATGAGGCTGTATAGGACTAATCCTGATCAAAATAAAAAAGATCTCCATGAACTTCTGTTTTGTAAAACTTCATGCCTTACTCTCCCATTAAAAAAAAAAAAGTTTCTGCTTTTATGAAGATCTATGTTCTAAGTAGAGATTGAGACTCAGAGGCTTTCTCCCCTTTAGATGTTAAACACTGATCTGAAGGCAGTTATGCTGTGATTTTGATGCTAGCTCAGACTGAACATTGACAAGAGGGGTTTATGAAATTGTTGTCAGGTAAAGTTCTCTCACAGAAAATGAGGACACAATTAATTTTTGTGTAAAGGAGCAAAAATTTTGCTGCAGCTGAACCTCCAAGGAAGATAGGGTATGCTTCAGGAAACAGACTGCCCTTTATGAAACACAGGTACACCTGAAAACAACTATCAATCAAAACATGCATTAAAAAAAATAAATCCACTTACAGTAGCGAAGTTGACTAGGCTATACAAGAAAAACTCAATTGCATTGCACACCACCATTACAGCTGTAAGCATTTCCAAATCATCTCTACTTCCACAGAACTGTAAAAGCAGTTCCAACAAGAACCACAAACATTTATGCCATGCAGCAAAGTGTCATCAGTAACTTGCTGATGGAACTTTTTGGTTTACATACAGGGAAAACTGATGGTATTGATTAGACAACTGTCCTTGCCTGAAACAAAACAGAAACTGCTAAGAGCAACAGAACAAAGAAATGGCGAATTGCTTTATGGCTAAAACAATCTCAGCTAATCTCAAACACTGTAAACAGAAAGGAGACAGAAAGCCGGTACATGGGGGACAGAGGACTCAGGGAAGCATACAAGCAGCAGTACTCAATTGCTTCAATTTTACCTGTGTTCTGCAGGAATTTCATGTCCAGTTCTGTAAATATGAGACAGTAAAGCCGGTCTGCTGGCATAGGGACACCCACAAGTACACCGGAAAGTCTTGCCACAGTCCTCTATATGCCGCTTCAAATACCATTCCGTACCATAGGAGTTACTACATTTGTCACATTTGTGCTTCTTTTCAGCGTGCATCTTCATAAAGTGCTACAATACACAATGAAAAGTAAACATTAGCCTTCAGCTAAGTCACTTTTAGGGAAACAATATTTGTATATTTTTCTTCTGTTGTTAAATAGCACTGAGAAGCAGGATTAAAATCTTTTGAAATGTCTCAGTAGGAAAGGCTGCCCAAGATGGCAGGCAAGAAGTGGAATATAACAACTAATGAGACTTTATTTGCACATACTTTGTGTGTACACAAAGTTCATGCTATGTTCAGCTTTCCAAGCTACGAGAATGAAGTACTGGGAGGCTCCTGATCATGTTAGTTCTGTATCAGCAGTTTCCACCACTTCAAAATGCAGGTACAAATTTGTGTCCTGATAAAATATGAATTTTCTTATTGTTCTTGTCTTACTGCCTAGAGGTTAATCTTGCCAAAGAGCCTATGCTGCAACAGGTAGATCCTCTTGACAATCTACTACTGAGCAAACAGTATCAAATCAAACAGGACAACTGCGGAGCACCAGAACTGTTGCTTCTCATCTATGGCATTTATGCAGCATTCATCTCCTATGGTCCAGGCTTCCACAGCTGACCAACAGAAGTATGTTTTTCGATTTTTCACAAAGAAATACATTTTACGTGTTTTCTTAATCGGATGTCTTGTAAGCAAATGTATTTTGATAGTAAAACAAAAAAAATGTTAAACCTTGACCACTGGAAAAAGCATTTTAAAAGCCTCTGCTGCATTTCGAACTTTCATTGTTTGCTGCTGATTTTTTCCCCTCTCTGATCTTTGTCAGTCTTACTAATTTGCGGAGAGCAGCTGTCAATTTTAGCAGAACATACCACCATCTGCCTCATCAAAAGCTTCAAGTCCTCTGATGCAAATTCACCAACCATATGCCCACATGGAGCTTCTGCACATGTAACTCCAAGCCCTGTATACATGCTGAGGACTTGCTCCTATCTGAATGAGAAAGCACACACCCTAGAGTACAGATGGCCTGGAACAAACTGGTATGATATTGATCTGTAGGAAAAAGGAATACCTGTTTTACAAGAGAAAATTGGGAAAATGGTCTGTTTGGTCCTCTGGGGCAGCCTTCAATAGGACAGCAGTAGAATTTCTGTGGAGTTTTCAAACCCTTCCTTATCGGTGCATTAAACTTTCCATCCTAAAAAACAATAAATTGAGAAGCTGACAACAGTTCCACAGGTTTGTAATTAAAGGCAGCATTCAGAATACACCTCAACTTTGGCTCAATTATTTTACACACCTCAACGAGTTGAAAGCACTTCACCAAGCATATGGGAAGTTCTAATGGAATTTTCCACCTCTATGGATACTATCTTGCAAATTCATCAAAATTACTGAGTGAAATCATAACAAGCTCCATGAAGTACTGGTACTGTACTACCTACCTCCTCCAAGATATTTGCTCAAGGCTGCAAGATACACCCATCTATTACATTATTTGAGCCAAAAACCTTTTTCCCACAGGAAATGAAATTATAAACCAAAATTCGTCCAGCCTACAAAACTGACAGCTGGTATGTCAGTTCTGGAACTCCAAACATGAATTCACCTGTGCATTCCAATAATATGATACATATAAAAACACAATAAAAATATACCACGAACCTCACAAGAATTATCACACAGACACAACGAAAGAAAGAAACATTAAGTGGCTCAGAGACAACCACAGAAATACCTATAAAAGGGACACACTGACAGGAACATCCAAATTATTCAACAACAGAGAACCTATTGCTACTGAAAACACAGCCACAGAAACCAGTCAAGACACATGTATAACCTAACCAAAGGAGTCTTTGTGGAAATGACTGTATTACCAAAAAGTTAAAAGCAAATTACGAGCAAAAGCTGATGCTCTGTTACCTGGGAGTCTCCTTACATCACGAGCAGGAGGCCGACCCAGAGCCAATCACAGCAGCCTGCAGTGGTTTCTCCACTTTGCTCAGGTTCTTTGCTGAATTACCAGCACAGACCTTGTTTGAGATCTGCACCTGATTTTCCTCAGTATGATAAGAGTAGAAGGAAGCAGAAGTGGTGAGATGTGGAAGCCATGGCAGTGACTGACTCCCCAGCTGCTTTCTTTGGGCAGAACTCCAGCCTGTCATGTTTGCACAGGTCAGACCATACGCAGGACTCACAAAGTGCAATAGGCTCAGGTGAAGTAAACAGCTGTCATTTCTCACACTAAATCCCCACTACCAGAATAATTCTGTCAAGGGGGAGTTTTCTTGTAACGCTGTAGCACTTCAAGCAACTTCCTGGGTGTGCAGCAGCCTTTCCCATGGACAAGCTATTCAATAGCAGGCGTGTTTTATCTCTGCTGAATAACCACTGTGAAATCTGGTTGTTACAGCCTGTTTGCCTGCCATTACACTCTTTAACTCCAAATTTTTCCAGAAATAATTTCACTAGATGCAAGTCTTCAAGCCTTTGGGAGGAATAACATTTATCCCTTTAATCAAAGCTGTATTTGTTCTCTCCAAGTGCAGATGAAATCAGCAGGCTTAGTAAGCAGCACTTTGAGTTATTTATTCAAAGCATGCTACGTTTAACATTGCAATCCAATAAATGACAGGGAAATATGTTCAGGCACTCAGCAGGTATACCACAGCCAGATTTTAGAAATGACTTCAGTACTAAGATGTGGAATAATGCCAAGTGTTATCAAAAACACATAAACATAAGTAAGAAGACGCAACAGCTGGAACACAGATTTTCCAGGTGCAGATCTGTTGAGACAAGTTGAGAGACTCCGTATGCATACAAGTAACCCAACCAGACACTATCCTTGTTTTGACTTTCTTCAAAGCCCTGCTGGCTCTACATGGTTAATCACACACATTTCAGGCATTCTTACAAGTCCTTTCTTTGTACAACTGATTTTATTCCCCGCATTTCTGCAATGCCTACTGACAGCTTTAGTGGAGGCATTTGTTGCACTAACACCTCACAGCACAGCCAGTAGCACTGCAAGGAACACTAACACTTGGGACTTGTACCAACAGCAAGGAGGAGCAGGCAGCAGCAGTCTGTGCTACAGATTTAGCCAAGGTGAACTTTGTGACGTCTGGCTTCCCTGAAGCAGGTTTATTCTGTCTGCTGGATTAACTTAAAACGGTACCTTACAGTAGACTACAGGCAAGCATTCACAACATTCCTGAAAGTAGGAGATGATAACACTGAGAAATAAGTCCACTTTGCTTTAGCATAAGAACTATATAAGAACTAAGTGTAACATTTGCATTGGGTCACCTACCCGGAGGGCAAGCTGCACACTGCAGTGCAGCACTGATGGCAGTCTCCTTGTTATCACAGGAATCCACTGAATCCTCTCCTTTACATTAATTCCTCTAGATTCATTTTTAAACTACATAGAAGTCTTCCTCTTCTCCCCATAAAATAACACAGACAAAAGACAGAAGCATTCAAAAGTCTCCAAGCCTAATATGTTAAGTGCCGGTTTCTAAATTAAATGTCACTGTTCTCATGTTTTCATTGGCTCAGTGAAGCCAAGAAGCCAGAAAACAAACAGATAGAAATTAACATTTCACCATTTCTTCTCTGGTAGGCCAAACAAGCCCATTTTTTTTAAATTTCCCTTCATCAGACACACCTGCCATTTAAAGTTGTCGAAGATTCCATGCATCTTTGGTGTTTCACCTTATTTGAATCAGATTCTTACCCTGCCACAGAAAGCCAATATCTTTCTGCAATATTCCACGCCTGTCCTTCCCACAACAGCACTACCCTATCAGTTACATCTGCAAACAAACAAGTTTCACAAGTGTTTCCCATCTCAACTACTTCTGTTACAAACCAAGACTGATCAATTTTCTGTTACAGGTTCACAAAAGAATAATAACACTACTGCATGTAACTCTGTTTTTACAGGCTCATCTTGCTTTCTACATAAAAACCTTCCACAGTGACAACGCCTCATTGTTTTTGTCATCAAAAGATCCTGCTGTACTACTTTTATTAATGCAAATTAACCATGCCAGCCTCCCTTCTTTTCAGAATTACTACATTGCCCAGTACCTCCTTACTCTCTCATTTGCTAAGCATTACTTTCAATAATTCTTCATGTTTTGCTGACAAATGCAGTTTACTAAACTATTTTTCTGCCCAAGGAGGTTGTGGATGCCCCATCCCTGGAGGCATTCAAGGCCAGGCTGAATGTGGCTCTGGGCAGCCTGGTCTGGTGGTTGGCAACTCTGCACATAGCAGGGGGTTGACACTAAATGACCACTGTGGTCCTTTTCAACTGAGGCCATTCTGTGATTCTATGATTTTTGTCTTGGGAATCAAATCTCTCTTAAAGGGAAAAAATCCTGTATTAGTTTAACTCCATCCCCCTCTGGAGACACAGAGTAACAAACTTATATTTTACTTTAGTACTCTTATTCTCCCATTCAAGATGCAGACTGAAGACATGCATAACACTGAATATGTTTTACCTGAAAGACAACATGGAAAATTTGATCTCCCTTAAGCCTTGGTAATATTCTCTCTCAATGACAACATTGGAATAAGCCAAATGTTTCTGGGAAGCTGTATGCAACCTCAAACTGTATGTTTCAGTACCTCCCCAAGCTAGATTTAACAGAAAGGCACATGAAACACATTACAGTTACACAGGGCACTAAGAAGTCAGCTCAGAGAGAAGCACTTCCTCACTCACCTTAGCTCTGAAACACACTGCTGCTGCCCTCACAGCATCGGGGGGCTGCTGCAAACACTCAGATCCAGTTCAAAACTGTCTGCTGAGCCTGAAGGCCCACTTTAAACTTCTCTTGTACCTCTACCCATAAATACATGTATGCAAGGCATAATACATATCAAGACAAAAGTTGTTGGTGCGTATTGCATTTCTATTCAGTTTTTTTTTTTTACTTTTCACTGTTTTCAGATAGGAATTGTAATGCTGAGATTCACAGCTAGTATCCTCGAGATCATTTCCTCCTCCTCACAAATGATGGGCTGAAACGCGCTGTCGATTTCTTCCTTTGCTATTTCCGTAAACAACAGTTAATTGTTCACCCTCTGTAGCTGCTTCTTCCCAATGCAGCCAGGAACGCCGTGCTCATAGTTCTCCAGGAGTGGCATTCACCCCCACACCCCCTGCACGGGGACTCGGAGAAAAATAAGAGCAACTTGCTGTCAGGCCACCCTCAGTCACCCACCCTCCTCCCGACACTCGCTGCATTTTCTCCGTAGTGCCGTGGCAATGAGTGCTTCTCTCCAAAATGGCACCCACAGCTTCTCGTGTTGTCGCTCACCGATATTACCGACAAGTAAAGCAGACGGATGACCCAGCAGAGGCCGGGCACGGCCTGCACACTCTGCCAGCCGCTGCCCATGCTGCGGGTGCACCTCCCAAGCCATGGAAAAACAACCGATACACCGAAGGGAATAACAGAAACCGAGTCCCGAACTTTGAACTGCCAGCACAGCGGCACGTAATGGGTAACACCCCGCACACCGCTGCGGTGCAATCCTCCACAGCCCGCCCGACCTGCACGCACACGGATGCATTTACACATGAACCCGGGCACGCTTCTTCGGGGGGATCTACCGAGACGCCCCGCGATACCCGCTCCCCCAGCAGCCCAGCGGGTACCGGCGGCCATCACCGGAGCCGGGCGGTACCTGGAGCCGGTGGGCCTTGCTGAGGTGCATGTTGAGAGCCGGGCTGTTGGGCAGCACCTTGCCGCAGCCGGGCACGGTGCACAGGATGTTGGTCCTCACTTGGGACAGCTCCGTCACCGAGGGCCGCACCAGCTCGCGGGCGGGCGGCGGGTCCCCCGCGGTTGGCTGCCCCACGGCCCCGCCGCGCCGCCCCGCCGCCGCCATGTTGCTGTCAGGTGCTCGCGCCCCGCTTCCGGGGGCGGGAAAGAGGGGCGGGGAACGGCCGGTTCGTCACGGAGCGCCCGCGGCGCAGCTCGAGATGCGCGTCAGCGATGTGAGGAGGGCGCTTGCCGCCGCGTCGTGGTGCTCACCGCCGAGCCTGTTTTCCCTCTAATGCCCGTATTTAATTGTGATGCAGAATTTTGAAGCTTTACAATAAATCCCTCCCTCGATTTGGGAGAGCACGTCAGGAAAAGCCCAGCACAGACTGAAATGCCTACTAGAAGCTTGGTGGCACCGATTCCTAGGGTGCAGTGTGAGGAAAAAAGGGCCAATCCTTCACGTGTACAGACTGCAGCATCTGCACCAAACCTGGGCTTGTTTCAGACCCCCAGCTCAGTGCTTGGCAACACTGACACTGAAGTCGCAGGTGGAAGGACTGAAAAAAAAATCTGTCATTAAACAGATAGTCACAGAATCACAGGGTTGGAAGGGACCTCAAGGATGATGAATCTCCAACCCCCTGCCACATGCAGGACCACCAACCTCCCCATTTAATACCAGACCAGGCTGCCCAGGGCCCCATCCAGCCTGGCCTTGCGCACCTCCAGGGACGGGGCATCCACAGCCTCTCTGGGCAGCTGTTCCAGCACCTCACCACCCTCTCTGTAAAGAATTTCCCCTGCCAGTCCTTGAGTAACTTCTTATGAACTTCTTATGAAGGTAGATAGAGATGCTGGAAAAAATAAATCTATACACTAAGTCATGCTTCAGAAAATAAGGCCAAACAAACTTCTATAAGAGGTCTTAATTTACACATTTATTTACAGTTTGAAAACAAAATTAATTCCCATACAACCTCTCCAAACTTTGTCATGAATACTTTGTCATGAAGCTTTTTCAAAGGACTGCCTACCAACATATCATACAGAAGGCACACACACAGTATGCGTCCAGGTAGCAGAATTAAGAAACAAGCATTTGTTTGACACTTCAGTGCAAATTAATCTCTTAAAATAATAATACAGCCAGTTACACAGAAATATTTACATAATTACCAATTGCTATTTACCAACCCTAGAGAACACCGCTGCAAAGCTGCTGTTTGCACGAGTGGATGCTGATATCTTGCTTCTGCAATCTTTGTGTCCCTAAGCTCAAGAAACGATAATGTACAAAGACTGCAGAGACCACATGTTGAATGAAACAGACATTCTAAAACATAGACTACCTCCAAAGAAAACCATTGCCGGCGTCACTGTGTTCCTGTGAGCTGGTATTTTATAGGATACTAATATCAGGAGATAGAATTTTAAAAGTTTAAAATATTTATTATTGGCTGTCACAATTGGTGAGTGAGAACTCTGGAGCTGAACAGCCGGTAATGCTGCATGGAAGTTTCTTACAGATGCCTCTCAGAGTCTCTTCTCCCCTAAACCCTGCAACAGTCTTTAAATGTAATCTGCATCTACAAAGACAAAAACACACCCGACCTGAAGCAGAGTGGTAGTTCCACTTATTTGAATGGGGCGATTCACGCGCTCAGAATGGGCATGTGTTGTGTTTCACTGCTGTCCTGCAGCTGAAATAAGGACACCTACAGTTATGACAGTAAACTGAACAGAACATGTCTCACCTGTCTGCACCAGGCTTTAGCATCTAACAGCAAATACAGATAAAAGTGGTCATCACATTTAAACTTTAAATAATCATGATTTCTGTTTAAAATTCACTAACAGTGTCCTGTTAGTTTACGAGGGCTAACCCGAAGCCAGAAATAAAAAAGGGTTTATCAGAGAATAAGGCTGTTTTTAAAATCTGTTTTAAAGGTGATTGGATTAATAGCAGTAATAAATGAATCACACATTTTGATATAAAAACATTTCTATTTAAATTAAGGGCTTACAAAGCTTCCTGGATGTAAAGACTTCTTCTCTCTAATTTTAAAGTAATTTCTAGCTTTTTGTGGAATGCATGTAAGTAGTGGTGAAAGTGGGGCATCAGCCAAACCTGTAGAGACAAACAGGTAATTACAGCTTAACTCAGGCAGTATTCACATTTCACAACTGTCACAAAATTGAAAACAGAGTTTGAATACCTACTATTGAAAATAAACAGGTATATATTTACACATTAAATTTTAGAGGTAACAATTTCATTCTATTTATTTCTATATATTTCCCAACTGTGCAGGTTCTTCTATGCAATCTACAAGCAGAATGTAAAATGATTAAAATGTTTAACTGTGGATTTTTCCTCTCTTTCTACAGAGTTGCACTACTTACCTGCTGGTGCCAAGGATCTCAGTGATTCTAAAAGATGTGGACTAGAAAACTTGACCAAACATCGGAATGGCTCTTTTTTCTCCAAAACATCCCATTTAGGATTACTTTTAAACATCGTCTCAAGCTGTTAAGATAAAATTATCAAGCATTATGAACAATGCATGCATTTTATGTATCTATTATTCACATTAATATTTATAACCATAGAATCATTAGGTTGGAAAAGAAATTGCATTTTCTCTGACATGATACACCCTAGAAGAACTGTGCAGCCATATGCCAAATAGCCTGTAGAACAATGAGAACAGTTACAGTTGTAATGTTTCAGTTTGGTTGTAATAGCTGCATTTAATCTTCAAAGCCAGTTGTTGTCCTCAGCTTTACTTCTCTCTAAGTAGACATCCACCTGAAAATTATTCTGGAAAGCTCAACTTGTAAGTATATGGTGAATTTTAAAAACACATTTTCTAACATTGGGAGTGGAGAAATTTCAGCTACAATAGCTGAAATCTTTGAATTTAGATACTTCATTTCAGAATTACAGCCTAGACCCAGAACTGCAGCTTCTCCCTCTACACTGGCATATATGGACATTTACACAAACACATATGCATACACACATATGGATATTATTTCACTTAAGATAATCTCCCAATGACCTACTTACATTCAAGCTAAAAATGTTCTAACTGATAACAGTTGAAAATGGAACTGGCTACTGTTTTGAATGCTAGAATATTTTCAAACAAGCATGACTTGAGTTCCTTCTTCAAACTGAGTGTTGTACTAAAGTCACTGTAGCCAATCTGGTAATAAAAATGTATTTTACAAGTTCCAGCACAATATATGTTTATGGGTCTACTGTTATCTCTGAAATGATCAGTTAGGTCTGAACAGGCAAACTATAAGGTAGGAGAAGAATAACTTTTGTATTCCTTAACATTAGCATGATTCTAGTAGGAGGAATCGTTCGTTACTAAAATCAGAGGGTGCCACCATGTGGTAAAGAGTTCTCTGGTGGAAGAGGCAGCCAGGTCAATTACACAGGAGATCATTGCTATCTCACAGAATTCCCAACACATCTGCTCATTAGAAAAAAAATAATGGTGTATCATTAAAATCTTGTGCTATATGTGACATAATCTTCATATGTACTTCAAGCAATCCTAATTTCTTATGCCTCAAAGCAATGCTGTTTTATGCCTAGCTTTGTTACAAAACTAAGTCCATGCGCTGAGCTCATAAGGGCAAAGGACTGAAATAAGATCTGGTACCTGACCAGATCTCAATGCAAACAGGCTTCTTAAAACGAGTCTGACATTTAAAACATCCTCTCTAAAGTTTGAAACAATACCATCTTCTTATTTTCAAGTTTATGTAGCTGTAGCTCTATTAAAATTATAGAAAAACAAAACAAAATTTGTTGCTTTCTCTACCTTATATTGTGCAAAGTCAAGTTTGGGTTGGGGACCATCACCAAAACATTCCTGATTCAGTCTGTGTATTCTTTCTTTCTCGCTTCTGTTTTCATCATTTATCCTTAAATCCACTGCAGGGTAGGGAGAAAAAAATAAAGAGGGAAGAAAAGACAACTCTCAGCGAGTACAAATATTGCATTTGTTGATCAGATGAATGCCCCCCAAAAATTTGGAAATAATAATTTTAAAGTTTCAACACTATCTGTGTTTGATAAGTTAACTGGGTGAATGACATATATTTTCAGTTCTTACCAAGAGAGAAAACAAGCTGGAAGGATAGGAGACACTGATCGTTACTTATTTTTCGTTTCACAAGTGCATTGAACATCATAAGGAAGTGCTCATATCTCCTTGTGACATCAATATTATCCATGGGTGGATAATATGTCAATATAACACATGCATTTCTCATTACGAATCTCATTTCATAAGGCAGAAATATACAGATACACATTTTTAAGCACAAATCTTCCAAGTAGGGACATTCACACTTGTATTTAATTTAAAAATACACGTACCATTTTCTGTGAGTACATTCCTTTCCTGTAGTGGATAGTTGGTTTGGAAGTTCTAAACGAGGAAAAAATAAAAAGGAAAAAAAAAACAGTTCTGCTTTTAGAGGCTTTAGCTGAAAACAGTTTTCTATATTTCTTGTTACTTTGTGTTCTGAAAGTGAGTGGTCACACTTTCAATAACTCCTAGACTACAAAACCCAGCTTTATTCTGAGAAAACAGATGATACAGCCTGTGGATGAACAGAGTTAAGTATCCATTCTAATACCTCCCCAAATATTACTCTAAGAAACAGTGCAAAGAAGTCCCAGGAGCGAATTGGAGAGCTGCAAAGACTGAGTTTAAACTTCCAGGAATAACAATAGACACTAGGTGGCATATCAAGTAATTACATCACTACTGTAACGTTACCTTAAGCAAATCTATCCAACTCAGTGGTTCCATACCACTGTAACTTGATAATCTCTGAAAGAGGTGAATTTCCTATTGCTAGGGGGTGAGAACTAGGCCTGAAATAGAAGCAAGACTCATCTTCAGATGTACTTGTGAAGTGGCTCACCTGGCTGTACCTCTTAAACACAATATCTTTAAGGGAGTTTAAACAATGACTTCGAAGCTCCATTTCACGGATGTCATGGTAATTGGAAGCAACAATCATTGCCTTGAAATAGAAATTGAAATTGTTTTAGTATGAGTGTTAATAATCACCATGGGTACAATAGAAAAACATGTAGTATTTCTAGACT